AAAAAAAAAAAGACTTCAAGACAGAAGTTGTTACAAAAGACAAATGGACATTACATTAAGATAAAACATTAATTTAATCAAGAAAATATATAAGTTATATCCCACACTCAGAATATTTGAAGCAAACACTATCATACTGAAGGGAACAATAGATTATTCTCCAATCATAGAGATTTTAACACCTATATTTAATAGAAGATGAATTTGAAAACCTCTGATAATCTCAATTTATAAGAAAAATGATTTGGACCAGCGAGGTAGCTCAGTGGACTAAGCAACTGCTTGGACAAGCACAGAGACCATGGTTCGATCGCTGGCACCACATGCCTCGCTGGCCCTGCCTACAGGTATGCTGAGCCAGCCACTGAGTCCAGGCATGGTGGGGCACACTTGTAATCCCAGTGCTAGGGAGGCTGATAACAGGAAGATCACTACAAGTCTAAGCTGCATAGTGAGACTCTGCACCAAATACATTAAAAAAAAAAAAGAATGTTTATGTCTCAGAACCAACTCATAATCCAAAGAAGTAGAATGGTGGAGTACAGACCTGCAACTGATTGATTTCTAGCAAGTGTCAAGGCCCTGTAAGAGCAAAAGAATTGGTGACAGGGCAGGCTCTCAGAAAAGAGTGATGTAGGATTCATATTTACAGATTAACTCAAACTGCATCAAAGCCCTCAACATAAGCACCAAAGATGGAAAACTCTTAGTACTAAATATAATAGTAAATTTTCATGGCCTTGATTTGGCAACATATAGATCTGAAATATAGCACCAAAGCACAAATGATGAAAGAAAGATAGGTAAGAAGGACTTCATCAGACTTAAAAGTTTGTCCACCAAAAATAATATCAAAGAGTGAGAAGGTAACACACAATGAGAAAAAATATCTCCAACTCATACACTTAAGAAGGCTTTGGAGGCTTTCTTTTCTTCTTCCGGTTCCAGGCACCTGGCAGCCGTGGTTTACAGTGCAGTTATGGCCAAGTCCAAGAACCACATCATACACAATCAGTCCTGAAAATGGCACAGAAATGGCGTCACATTTGTAATACCTCAGCCACAAAGATACGAATCTCTGAAAGGGGTAGATCCCAAGTTCCTTAGGAACATGTGTTTTTCCAAGAAGTACAACAAGAAGTGCTTCAAGAAGATGCAAGCAAATAATGCCAAGGCCATGAGCGCATGCTCCGAGGCTATCATGGCCCTCTTCAAGCCCAAGGAGGTCAAGCCCAAGATCATTCCAAAGGGAGTAGGCCTCAGGCTTGCTCGACTTGCCTATACTGCCCTCCACAAGCTTGTGAAGCGTATCCGTGTGCACACTGCCAAGGGTCCCAGGCCTCACCAGCCAAAGGTCCAGGCTCCAGCTTCTGCTCCACCCAAGGCCCAGGGTCCCATAAAGGCTCCACAGTAAAAGGCTCTTATCTGCTGATGTAAAAGCAGAAGGACTGGTGTGACCCCTGGGGTGCCATCTGTGGGGGGCTGATGTCCTCCTGTGTTCTTTGTACAAATAATCCTGAGGAAGGACAAAAAAAAAAAAAAAAAGAAGAAGAAGACATTGATATCTGGAATATAGAAAGAACTCCTAAAACTCAACAACAAAATTATTCAATTCAGAGGGGCTGGGGAGATGGCTCAGTGGAATAAGCACTTCCCTGGCAAGTGCAAGGGCCTGAGTTCAATCCCCAGTTCCTGGAAAAAAAAAAAATATTCAATTCAAAAATGACCTAAGAAAAAAGAAAAAAAAAATGACCTAAGGATAATGGAAATTTCTCCAGAGCATACCCATAAATGGCCAATAAGGACACGGAAAATGCTTGTCATCATCAGTCATGGAGAAAGGCTGATCAGGCTGGGTATAGGTGGCATACACCTATAACCCCAGCATTCCAGAGGCTGAGGCAGGAGAATCTCTGAGAGCTGGCAGCTAACCTAGGCTAAAAAGTAAGGTCAAGGCCAGTCTGAACTGCGTAGCAAAACCCCGTCTTAACAAAACAAAAGACATGCTGGTCAGAACCGTGATGAGATGCCACTTCACAGCTACCATGATGGCTCTGACTTAAAATGGAAAAATGAGCAGTACTGAAAAGATCTAGTGAAACTGGAGCTTTTATGCATGGCTGGTGGGACTCTGAAATAGTATAGCTACTTGGAAAAAGAATTTTCCTATTCCTCAAGAAGTTAAACATAGAATTCACATATGACTCTACAATTCTAACCCTGAATAAAAGTTTAAAAAAGTTGAAGACTAATGTTCAAAGTAAAGCTTGTAGAATGAAACTTGTAGCAGTCTTCAGCATTCCCAATAGCCAAATGGATAAACATGATATTGTATATGCACATATATTATGCAGCCATGAAAAGGATACTTCAACATGGATGAGCCTTGAAAACATATTGAAGAAAGAAGCTAGACTTTTTACAGAAGAGCAGATTTTGTTAGATTCCTTTTATGGGAAATGACAGAATAGGTAGATCCATGGAGGCAGAAAACAAGTTAGTCGTTAAAGGCTAGGGTGACAAAGACTAGCAATTGACTGTTGGGTGGGTGCAGGGTTGCTTTTTGAAGAAATGAAAGTGCTCTGGCATTATGGTGATGGTGGAACAAGATTTGAGCGCACTGAAAGCTACTGAATTGTTACTTTAAGTAATGACAATGGTGAGATTTATATCAATAGAAATGTACTGCACCTCACTCCGGTAAAGCATCTGTGTGACACGGCACTGTAGCTGAGATTCTGAGAGTCTATCCAGCATTCTAGCTGGCCAGCAAGGAGGCTCTGGGAAGGCCATGTGTAGTGGGTTTCCTGGTGTGCTCATGAGCAGCGCCCAAAGAGGAGCTGTTGGGTACTTGTGCAGGAAGTGCACAGGACAGGAGGGGGAGCGGAAGCTGGTGGTAGGAGCAGGTAGGTCCTGGATGGGCAGAACCCCTGGGGGCCAGTGGGATAACAGTGGGGTACAGTGATATTTGGGTTCACAAACTCTTTCATTTTTCTTTTTTTTTTTTTCCCAGAACCGGGGATTGAACTCAGGCCCTTGTGCTTGCCAGGGAAGCGCTTATTCCACTGAGCCATCTCCCCGGCCCCCAACAATTCATTTTTTAAACAAAAGAGTTCAGAAAAAATTTGCTTCCATTCACCAATTCCGCATCAGGTGACAAACACGACCATGACCATCTTCCCCAAACTGTAAAACAAATTAAGTTCATCACCTGAGGTCCTGCTGTACTAGCAGCGCATTCTTCAAAAAAAGTTCAATTTGATACCTAATTGGTTATAGTTATGCTTTCAAATGACTATTATATAATCATATGAGTAAATATACTTAATTTTAAATAAAAATGAAGTTCAAACCCATGAAAACCTTCCTAACTCAGCTCTTGTGCAATCTTCTCACTTTGGGGATGGTAAAAAGGGAGTCCACATTCACCTATCATTTATTGCAGTATACTGCAATAATTATTTTATTTCATTATAGGTGATGGTTGTCATTCTCCTACTATTGCATAATTTACAAATTGGCTTCACCATGAATATGTCTTGATAGGAGGAAATCGGGTGCAGTTTCAGGAGAGTCTCCCTGTGGATATGGGAGCTGCTGTGATTGACACAACTTTAAAAGGAAGATTTGGGGAAGAAGAAAGAGATCAGGGGGTGGGGAGGGCAAGAGAAAGGGAATAATAGAGAATAATAATAATAATAAAAAAGTTACCCTGTTATCTTAGTCACCTTTCACCTTGCTGGGGCAAAATTCCCAACACCTGCAATTTAAAGGAGGAGAACTTTTTTTTTTTTTTTTTTTTTTGTAACCAGGGATTGAACTCAGGCCCTTGCGCTTGCCAGGGAAGCGCTTATTCCACCAAGCCATCTCCCTGGCCGCAAGGAGGAGAAGTTTATTTGGGCTCACAGTTCAGAAATTGTAGTCCTTGCATGGCTGGCAGCATGGTGGAAGGGCCAGCATGAGAAAAACTGCCCACATCATGGCACCCAAGAAGCAGAGAGAGAGAGAGAGAGAGAGAGAGAGAGAGAGAGAGAGAGAGAGAGAGAGAGAGATTGGAGAGATTGGAGGGGCCAAAGGAGAGACACAGCAGCCTTTTGGGTCATGCCCCCAGGCTCTCATCTCTTCAGGCTAGGCCTTACCTCTAAGAGCACATTTATCTACAACACACCCATGGTTTAATCCTCTTCCAAAAGCCCTGCCCATGCATGCATGAGGCTTTCTTAACATAAACCAGAACATTCCACCCTTGGCCCCCCCAAATAACGTGTGTGCATATTTTTATGCAAATGCATTCAGTCCATCTCCAACAACTGCCAAGGTCCTACAAGTTTCAGCCTTTCTGAAAACTCAAAGTCCAAAGTCTCTTCTGAGACTCCAAACAAACTCTTAGCTGTGAGTTCTTGTAGAAATAAAAATGAAGCCAAATGCTTCCAACATATAATTCCCATTTCAAAAGGAAGTAATACAGTGATAGAAAACTAGTGGCAGAAAAGAAGACAAAAATCCAGCAGGACAAACATTAAATCCTTCAGCTCCATGTCTAGCACCTGGAGCAAGCTGTGACAAGAGGTGAACTCTAAAAGACTTGGGCAGCCCCTCCTTTATGGTATCACCAGTTGTAGCGCTTGTGTTTTCTTTTTCA